TGTCCTCTCCTTGTCCTCCTGTCTTCAATCTTCCCCAGCACCAGGATCTTTTCTAGTGTGTCGGCTCTGTGTATCAGGTGGCCAAAGTATTGGAGCTTCACCTTCAGCATTAGTCCTTCCAATGAATATTCAGGGTTGATTTCCTTTAGGATGGACTGGTTGGATCTCCTTGCAGTCCAAGGGACTCTCAAGAGTCTTCTCCAGCCCCACAGTTAGAAAGCATCATTTCTTTGGTGCTTAACCTTCTTTATGGTCCAACTCTCACATCCATACATGACTACTGGAAAAACCATACCTTTAACTATGCAGATCTTTTTTTGCAAAGAGGTGTCTCTTCTTTTTAATATGCTGTTTAGGTTTAGTCATAGCTTTTCTTCCAAGGAGCAAACATCTTTTAATTTCCTGGCTACAGTCACTGTCTGCAGTGATTTTGGTGCCCATGAAAATAAAATTTGTCACTGTCCACTTTTCCCCCATCTAGTTCCCATGAAGTGATAGGACCAGCTACCATGATCTTAGTTTTTGAGTTTTGAGTTTTAAGCCAGCTTTTTCACTGTCATCTTTCACCCTCATCTTGAACAGTATGAAAACTAGTAATATTGGTTATCTTTTGCCATGTAACAAGAAGCAATAAAGACACCCATATTCAAGAAAAGAGGCATGTGCCTCCACTATAGGGAATAGTAACAAAATCTATGAAAATTTTAAGACCACCATCAAAAAATCCTACTCTGTAATCTATGATTACATAATATAATTACATGTAGAGAATGGTTAGTAGGGTGCTATCACCAAGCAAAGTAGGTTAGCACTCCAAAACCCAAATTGGAGAAAAATCACCAAGGGACTTTTATTAGTAGTAAAATGAGCTATCTTATCACACACATTTAAATTGAAGTTGAAGGGGTTAGATGAGCATCTGAAGTAGACAGGTACTGGGATTCCAAGAAGAAAAGCTGAATCAGAATGTTGGCAGTGCACACAGAGGAGAACTGTGTTCCAAAATCATGAGCTTTGGGGAGTCTAATAAGTGAGCCAAAATGGCGTTAGAATATGTATACATATAGCTGATTCAGTTTGCTATACAGCAGGAAAAGCACAACTTTGTAAAACAACTATACTCAAACAAAAAATACTTTTTTTAAAAGAAAACATTAAAGATTAGGGTTAGACATAGATATGGTTATAAAAAAAGATTTTGAACACTGTTTTCAGTTTTTCCTATTGAAATAAAGCTAAACCTTTATATTCTCTAGCCTTGGAAATCACCCATCCATAAGCTCAATTCCAATAGTAAGGATAATACCAATAGTAATGAGTGGAAGAATGATTGAGCTATATATTATGAAATACCATACTTAATAGTCACTAAAGTTTGTTTGTAATATTTATTTATTTATTCATTTATTTTTGTCTGCATCAGGTCTTAGTTGCTGCTTATGGGATCTTTCATTGTAGTGCATGGGCTTCTCTCCAGTTGAGGCTCACAGACTCAATAGTTGGGATGCATGGGTTTACTTGCTCCATGGCACGTGGGATCCAGCTCCCAGATTAGGGATCCAGTGCATGTCCCCTGCAATGGAAGGCAGATTCTTAACCACTGGGTCATGAGAGAAGTCCCATAATTACTATAGTTTTAGTCACAATCCTCTACCTATTCATTTTCTCCTTTGCCTGCTTCCCTGAGATGGTGTAGTTAAAAAAAGAAAAAAAGAAAACTCAGCCCAGTTTGGGTTTGTTTTGGTTTTTATTTTTATTTTAGGATTAGTCTTTACAAAAGTAATTCAACAGGAAGTAAGTGTAATAGATCTCTGGGAGTGACTGCGTGGTACGACTGGGAGAGCTAAAATGGGTATTTTGTGTTTATGTTTTGTTTTTGGATGGGGAGCTCTTTTGTTTGTTTGTTTATTTTGTTTTTGACTTACTCCAGTAGAACCAAAGTATATGAACTTGTAGTTCTTAGGGGTGGAAATTTATATGAAATAGTAGAAGACGATGTCAGGCAGGGATTTAAAGCACTGTATAGAGAAATCTGTTAATATCTAATTAAGGTGAAGATGTGTATTCATTCTCAGCCATTAAATTCTACTTCTAAGTATAACAACACTGTCTCACAGACTTCATTGACCATGATTTAGTCCCTAACTCGTGTCTGACTCTTGCAACCCCATGGACTGTAGCCCTCCAGAGGCTCCCCTGTCCATGGGATTTTCTAGGCAGGAATACTGGAGTGGGTTGCCATTTCCTTCCCCAGAGGATCTTCCAAACCCAGGAATTGAACCTGTGTCTCCTGCACTGTAGGCAGATTCCTGCATTGACCATGTCCTACATCAAGTACACAGATGTTCCAAGAAAAAATACTTACTTGCCTCACCCCAAGTGAAGCACTTTAGTGTTTTCTGTGCTGAACACTTTTGGTTGTCATTCATAATGTGCTGAAGAACACTGCCCTAGGGAAATCCTTACACATGTGCATGAGGAAACATGTAAGAAAATGCTTATGGCATTCATTGTTAATAAAACCAAAAACTGGGAAACAACCAGGGTTTGCTACTGAGATAATGTATAAGTAATTTGTAATTTATTTGTAGAAAAGATCACTGAACATCAGTTAAAGTTAATATATTGGAGTTGAAGCTATATGAATCAGTATGTATAAATTATAAAACCTGACTTGTGAAAATACCAAGTTGAAGACAATATCTACAAGATATAATGTATGTAAAGTTTCAAAATATGTAGTATGAAGTTAAAGTTTAATAGCTTTGTAATGTCTGAAATGTTTCATATTCAGAAAAAAATAAATGTTTCATATTTAGAAAATGCCCTTAATCTATTACATTCAGTATTTTACAGGTCAGGGAACATTCTTTTACAGCTCTTAAGCTGCTTTTTATATTATCTTGTCTAGATGTGAATGTCTAGATTGATGATAATTAAAAGATTATAGTAATGAACATTTATGGAAGGTTTTAGTAGATACAGAACACAGTTCTGGGCTTCTCAGATGGCGCTAGTGGTAAAGAACCCACCTGCCAATGCATGAGACATAAGAGACATGGGTTCGATCCCTGGGTTGGAAAGATCCTCTGCAGGAGGGCATGGCAAGCCACTCCAGTATTTTTGCCTTGAGAATCCCCGTGGACAGAGGAGCCTGGCAGGCTGTAATCCCCAGGATCACAACGAGTCGTACACAATTGAAGTGACTGAGCACACATGCACGCAAACACATTTTTAAATATTTTATTTTACTCTCAGACCTTCTCACAGGTACACCTTCTCACAGTACATATGAGGTCTAGATTCCATTATTATTCTTGTTTTACCAATGAGGAAATTAAGAAAGAGGGAAGTAACTTGCAGCTAGTAAATAGCAGAGTTAGGATTTATACTCAAGATGTCTAGCTCCAAAGTCTGTATCATTCGCCTTCGTGCTATAGAGAAAAAGGTATTAACAACAGCAACAACAACAAAAATGTAGGAAGACCTTAACTCTGTAATTGGTAGTATACTTTTGAGAGAGAGTGTTTCATATTTTTATTTTTTAAACAATGACATGGACTTAGAAGGAACTAAAATTTTTTAGAGCAGAGAATTAAATATTAGAATACTAGCACTCATAGCAAAAGAGGAACCAAGAAAAGCACCTTGATAGATCATTGCCTTGTGTAAATTGGAGAATTAAAAGTTACCTGAAGTTTTAACTATGTATTCATGTATGGAAGCTCAGAAACCTTTAAGATTGATCTACAAAAGAAAGTTAGGATTTACCATATTGTATAATTTGGGAGTGTTTTTAGCCAGAATTATTAACCTGTTGAAAGATAAGGTAAAAAGTTAATGTCGTGTGTGTTTGTGGTGCACAGATTTTAGAGTAGAAGTAATCCCAAGGGGTTGTGGTGGATGCTGATGATGAGGTGAAAAGTTGTCTGGGCACAGAGCCAGAGACCTTGACTTTTGCAGTTTTTTCTCCTACAACTTCATAATGTAATCACCAGGATTGTTGTTTTGTGACTAAACATGAAATAAGATCCTGGGTTTTGTAAGGTCTTCCCGAGTGGCACAGTAATAAAAAATCTGCCTACCAATGCAGGAGACACAGGTTTGATTTCTGGGTCAGGAAGATGGCCTGTTGCAGGAAATAGAAACCCACTCCTATATTCTTGCCTGGAAAATTCCATGGACAGAGGAGTCTGGTGGGTTACAGTCCATAGGATCACAGAGTCAGATGCGACTGAACACAAATGCTCATACATTTTCAAAGAATACAGACTTCTAAAATTTTGCCTCATAAACACTAATTTATTGTTCATGAAAATTATTTTCATTTAATTCTTTAGATGTGTACTAGCTTATAACTCACAGTTATTTAGAGAAACAGTTTTTGAATTCTACTTTATTCTCTATTTGGATATTGATACTCTAGTTCCTTAGAGGTTTTAACATATTTAATGATCCCATAATTGTGTGGTTTTCAGAAAGCTGCAAATGCCATTTCCAAGTCTGCTGAAAATACAGCACTTGAGTCAAAATAAGATGATTTCCAGAAGCATTTTTTTTTTTCAGTTTGTTATTGGTAGTTTTTATAGAAGTCATATAAAGAATAGAAGATATTCCAGTTGGAGACCTTTGAGAGTGCATGTATAAATAACAGTATCTGCATTGTGCTAAGTTGCTTCAGTCGTGTCCAACTCTTTGTGACCCTATGGGTTATACCCCACCAGGCTTCTCTGCCCATGGGATTCTCCAGGCAAAAATACTGAAGTGGTTGCCATTTCCTTCTCCAATGGATCTTCCCAACTGAGCAATCGAACCTGCATCTCTTATGTCTCCTTCATTGGCAGGCGGGTTCTTTAACACTAGCACCACCTGGGAAGCCCAGTATTTGGATAATACTGTTTTTATTGTTTGCTGAAAATAAGTACGAAGTCCATTCTACCTTTGAATGTTAGTCAGATGTTTTTCTTTCTTTGTTTTTTCTTTTGTTTTTTCCTCCCTAGTGATGCTATTGCTGAAATTAGAGCCATTTGTATTGAAGAAATTGGAGTATGGATGAAAATGTATAGTGATGCCTTTTTGAATGACAGTTACCTAAAATATGTTGGCTGGACTCTTCATGACAGGGTAAGTTACTCTGTTCTCAGCTTTGGTAGAAGATATGCTTTGTGCAATTATTAATGATAAAAAGCTTGAAATTAAGATGGCATTTGTTGGGGTTTTTTTTTTTTTTCAAAAAGTGTAATAATAATGAAATTTGAGATGATATATACTGTTTACTTGTGGCCATGATGAAACTTGAGACATCAGCATGTGTCTCAAAACTCTTGTCTTACTTAGTTGTAATGCTGTCTTAAACCACGGTTGACAGCCTGGCACATCTAAATTTAAGAGGATGTAGTATCTTAAGAAGCTAATTACAGTTACGATTACAATCTTTTTCCAGTTAATAATCAAAAGAGATTCCTTGTTTCTCTTAATACATAGAAACTAAATAAGCTTTCTTATTTTGATTCTCAAGGGTCATATCCATAGTAGAACTTTTATCAGAGGTGAATAGATCTGTTGGATTTTAGAATATTTGATCTTAAACTCTTTCTGTACTTCCACTCTCTTATAAAAAGCTCTGACATAAAAGGAATCCCACAGTATTGAATATTGGATATGTAATCCTTAAAATAACAAAGGATAGGAATGAGAAATCACTGGAATTTTTATATTGAATAACCTAGATTCCTATAACTTGAACTGCCAGATTTTCACAGAAAAAACTAAATCTCACAACAATTTGTTTTAAAAGTTGCTATATTCCATTATTTGAATTGTTGCAAGTATCATAGGTATTAGAAAACATTTTAAATTTCTGTTTATTTATTTATTTTTGGCTGTGCTTCATCGTCATTGCTATGCCAGCTTTCCTCTAGTTGTGGCAAGCTTGAGCACATTCTGGTTGTGGTATGTAGCTTTTCAATGTTGTGGCTTCTCTTTTTGCTGAGCACAGGCTCTAGGGAATGTGGGCTTCAGGAGTTGCACTTTCTGAGCTCTAGAGCACAGGCTCAGGAGTTGTGGCACATGGGCTTAGTTGTTCCATGGCATGGGGGATCTTCCCAGATCAGGGATTTGAACCCTTATTTCCTGCATTGGCAGATGGATTCCTTACCACTGGGCAACAAGGGAAGCCCAACATTTTATCTTTTTAAGTGCAATTTTATTTTTAGACTTCTAGGGTAATTTTTTAATATTCTTTGACTTTCTTTTTTATGCTATTTTAAAAATTTTGTTAATTGGAGGATAATGGCTTTACAATGTTGTGTTGGTTTCTGCCATATAACAATGTGAATCAGAAATAATTTTATACGTTTACCCTCCCTCTTGAGCCTCCTTCTCTGCTCACATCCAACCTCTCTAGGTCATCACAGACAGCCAGGCTGGGCTCCCTATGTTACATAGCAGCTTTCCACTAGTTATCCATTTTTACAGGATAGTATAGGCTTTCACATCAGGAAGCTTCCATAAGCCTCTTATCCTCATTCACCAGAGGGCAGACAGAATGAAATATACAATAACAGAAAACTAACCAATCTAATCGCATGGACCACAGCCTTGTCTTACTCAATGAAACTATGAGCCATTCTATGTAGGGCCACCCAAGACAGATGAGTCATGGTGGAGAGTTACAACAAAATGTGGTCGACTGAAGAAGGGAATGGCAAACCCCTTCAGTATTCTTGCCTTCAAAACCCCATAAACAGTATGAAAAGGCAAAAAGATAGGAACCTGAAAGATGAACTCCCCAGGTTGGTAGGTGCCCAGTATGCTACTGGAGATCAGTGGCAAAATAACTCCAGAAAGAATGAAGAGACGGAGTCAAAGCGAAAACAGCACCCAGTTCTGGGTGTGACTAGTGATGGAAGTAAAGTCCAATTCTGTAAAGAACAATGTTGCATAGGAACCTGGAATGTTAGGTCCATGAATCAACATAAATTGGACGTGGTCAAACAGGAGATGGCAAAAGTGAACATTGACATTTTAGGAATCAGTGAACTAAAATGGACTGGAATGGGCGCATTTAATTCAGATGACGATTATCTGTACTACTTTAGGCAAGAATCCCTTAGAAGAAATGGGGTAGTCCTCATAGTCAACAAAAGAGTCCAAACTGCGGTACTTGGGTACAATCTCAAAAACAACAGACTGATGTGTGTCAGTTTCCATGGCAAACCATTCAGTATCACAGTAATTCAAGTCTATGCCTGAACCAGTAATGCTGAAGCTGAAGTTGAATGGTTTCTGTGAAGACCTACAACACCTTCTAAAACTACCACCAAAAGAAGATTCCTTTTCATCATAGGGGACTGGAATGCAAAAATAGAAAGGCACAAGATACCTGAAGTTTGGCCTTGAAGTACAAAATGAAACAGGGCAAAGGCTTTCAGAATTTTGCCAAGATAACGCAAACACCCTCTTCCCGAACGACACAAGAGATGATTCTACACATGGATATCACCAGATGGTCAACATTGAAATCAGATTGATTATATTCTTTTTTTTTTTATTTATTTTTATTAGTTGGAGGCTAATTACTTTACAATATTGTAGTGGTTTTTGCCATACATTGACATGAATCAGCCATGGATTTACATGTGTTCCCCATCCCGATCCCCTCTCC